GTCTCCGCCCATACAGCGTGCGTTGAGGATCTCTCAACGTGCCGTTGCGAACTGCGCAACGCAGGGTTGACCCTGGTCATGAGCCACTGATAAGGCAAGAGCGCAGACAAGAGCGTGAATTACGCAGCTTAAAAGACCGAGTTCAAGTAGTCCGTCGACCCAAACCACAATTTGAGGCAAGAAGAAAAAATGCTGCGAGGCGTTTTGAAGACATGTGCGTGTTATCTAATGGTAAGTGATAAGTCGTGAACATTAGTGTAAACAGCTAACATAAGTACAACAACCTTGCATTCGCTTTCAAGCTTGCGTTCGACAATATTGAGAACTAGGAAGAAGCTCAATTGTACTCCTTTGCTGAATATCTTAACGATCATTTTTACGGATCACTCACGTTTCATCTTTCGCAAAAACCACTGCTAATTCCAACGGCTTGAGCTCAGCATCCTTCGCAACATCCTGAAAATGAGCCACGAGATACATAGTGAGGTTTTGAAGTAACAAAGGTAATTAAAACGCAAGCCGTTCATTTTCACAATTATTTGCTCCGAATACTACATTCGCGTATACGGGTGGAGGTGGTTTGTATGGTGGCGTCACTACCTACCGTGCAAGTGCACAGCTCGTGGCGTCAAAGACAGGTCGGATTCGCCCAGACCGACCAAGTCTTTCATAACACCGGGCACGGTTGATTGATACCGGACTTGTTTGGGCATACAAAAACACTAACTTGTAGAGCAGCTGGCTCGTTGGTTGCGATGTTGCTGTGCGGAAGCTAGGAGAAGGGAAGGATTTTCGGAGGAACGAAAGCTGTCGTCACACATCTCCTCTCCTGGTCCAACCTAGACTTAGTTCTAAAGGACTAGGGAAGGGGTGTTGGGCCTGCACAATGATGCCCCACAGACGACATCAGCACCATATGTTCTCCTATGCTGATGAAACTCCTATACTGCTAAACAATTAGCGATCAAGATGACTGAAGAATATACCTTCTCAATATAAAGCATCCTCTTATGCGGCATTGAAATCGGAAACACAACTGATGGAGCACGTTCACTCTCCTCATTCTCTACTGCCATTAGCAACGCTCCTTGACAGAATGCTATTGCTTCAGGTACATATCTAAACACCATAGGATGAGTTCTAGTGAGAAAAAGAACGTTCTGGACCACTTACCGCCTGCTTTCTTCTACGTAGTCACTGACTACTGTCGCAAGGAGTATCTGACGAGCGAGGATAGCTAAATTCAGTACTTGGCACTTCGCAAGTGTCACGGCCGCAAGTGCCATGGCTGGAGAGCAGACAGGGTGCCATCTGTCACTAACAGGGAACAGAGAAGCAATTAACCTGAAAGCGCAACCTAGTAAAACAACCTCGTATAACTAGAAAATAAAGGAAGAAAAGTAATAAATTGAGTACTAAGAATTTCTGATGATTCTCACTCCGCATATGAAGAGAGGGAAGACCGAAGAGTCTTTCGCCTCTTCATTTGAGACTGAATTAATCACAACTTGCTAAATCCTAACCGGATGCTTTCAACTCGTAATTGAAGAGCACCTTGAAACCTATTAAATAACTTCATAATGGCCTTCCACATGGGTGAGAAGCAGTTTACCGTGAGCTTGAAATTGAATGTGATAATGGGTGTGACATCATAGTGATTATGAGCCGCTTTTTGAACGGAGCGCATAAGATGGTTGCCAAGTGAGACATTTCAAAGGTACGACGGTGGCTACGGTTGTGTGGGGACATTGAGTTAGAAATGTCACTGATGGGAAGACCTTGAGATGGTCTAACCACTCCCCTAGCGCATGAAAAGGAGTGGTCAAACCGCCTCTCAACGTCTTACCATAACGACTTGTCCCATTTTTGAAACGGTTCATCACTTATCACTTTGAAATAATGTAATGTTCACTCAATCCAATACCACTTACCCTTTTCGTGAACTCTGCTTAACACATTGACGACATTGAGACGCGGTAACGCGTCTCACTTTGCGCACCTCGTTGGACATTGAGACGCGGTTACGCGTCTCACCCTTGTCATCCCTTTTTCTAGCGTATGCGGGGATTCTTCCCAATTTGCTTGTCTCTATTCTATGGATTACAACATAACATAACTGTAAACGACATGGGTCACGGTATGATCAAATATGCTCCAGTTTAGCAGAAGTTTTTAAGCACAGCGGAATTGGCAGCTCGGTTCATTCCTCGTTTTCTTCCTATTCTCATGAACATGTCAGTGAGAAAAGGGTAGTGAAAGTAAATACAAACTTAAAGAGATAGAAAAATATATGTTTCACTTGACACATCCACATCGAAAATAGTTTTGGCATCCACTACAGAGAAAAGGACTGAAATTCCCTTTTCATTACCATTACACGTTCTTTTGATCGGATTTCGCCACTATATCCTCGATTACCTTCTACGCATTGAATATTGCTGAAATGGTTTTGTACCAGTGATGCTTTCCAAAAGTTATCATTCAAAAATTTACGGATGCCGAGGTGCGGCGGCCGCGCTCGCAAAATCGGCCCTGTCCCACACGGCCAAAAAAGCCAAAACGCGCGCTGTCGTCAATGTGTTAAAGATGTGTGATCCTGACTGATTCACAAATAGGGCCATGCAATGTTCTTACTACTCTCGTCTTAACTACGCACTTCAGAGGCAAAAAAATGGGCGCTTCATACAACACTAGTCCAGAAACGCCCCACCCGCACCACATTAATACTTTTGACAAACCTTAGCAAATTGATCAGAGAAAACTGAGTAGGAGACTTCGGCTTGTCCATGCGTTTCTTCCAATTTTGACGTATCAAAGCACGGACACATCTGACGCTGAACTCCACATCAAACTGTAAATAACATCTTGGGCTTTTTAAGCTTATTGAATGAACGTCATCCACTCTGCATGAAGTTCTTCCTAGCTTACCTTCAAAAGGGAGAACATCGCCTTTGTTAAAAACCCAAGCACAGCTAAGTTATCAGCAGAAAGCGAGCCGTTGGACAGATCATCTGAGTATCGCAGTACAAATAGGAATAATTTTGACAGAAGTTTCTTGTTGCCCTTCCGCTAGACTTGGATGATAGCACTTTATGAGCCTAAAAAAGGACAGTTGTAATGGTATCGTGATCAAAAGGCTTTAAATGCGAGCCTTGTCCAAAATTGGCTTGAACTGTATTATTTTCAAAAGTGAACGAATTGTACGGGAAAGTTACCGCTGCAAAACAACATCGATCTTCCTTGCAGGATATTTGTTCAAGAGTTTTACGAGAGCTTCAAACTTTCGCGGCATTTCGAAGACGAAGGGCACATCAAGGTCAGCGTCAGCTGGAAGGGACCAATATGAGAAGAAGCACAGAACTAGAACAAGGTTGATGAGAAAACTATGAACCTATTTCAGTCCGTTGCCCACGTACTTTCCTTTTCTGTTTACTGAGCTGTCCCTCCTTGCTTTCTGCCCCATCTCTTTCCGCACCGTCCTCTGATCCATCATCACTACTGCTCTCTTCCTCGTACTCATCTCATCTTCTTCATCGTCTTCTTCTTCGTCACTTTTATTGCCATCAATTTCTGCTGCTTTGCTAGTACCATCCTTTGGCTGTTCTCCATCTTAAGCAATAATGTAAGCAGTTCTAGAGGCTAAAATAGAATTTAGTGCGATAGCTTCTTTGTATATAAGGATTGGCGTATGTATGGAAAAAATTATTTATTTCGTTCTATCTCTAGGGATGGATGTTTACAGTCAGTGTTTTTATCCTCAGAAAAGTTGTGCTACAAATTGAACGACCCCGGAGGGAGTGGAAGGCTTGACGTTAAGTCGGGAGGAGCAGACCCATGGGTGACCGACCCATGGATACATCACTTTCGTGAGCGTCGGAGGGATTCGAAACTTCAAATTTAATGATTTTAAAAGAAAAGGAAAAAAGAATTGAGGAAATGACATAAAAGGTGCAAAACCGGATGTGATTCGCACCGTCGTGTTCTTCAATCAAGTCGTCCAGATCTTCTTCGTTCTGGTCCTCTTCTTCCTCGTCTGTTAGTTCCTCGTCGGAGTCTATGGCTACTTTCTTCTTAGAACGGGCTCAACATGAAACGCAATGAGACGATAACATTACCATGGTAGACACCATTTCAATGCTCACCTTATCTGGTTGTCAAGCAGTTTGCATTGGAACCGAGCGCACTTCAAACGCAACTTTTGCTGATTTTTTTGTTTATCATAAATTGATCAGCATCGCGAATGGGGGTGCCCCTTTTGTTGGTCTTAAAAGAAAAGGTTATACTTACCTTGCTAGAAGGTAAATTGTAGCGATAGCAATAAGAATTGGTGGAACAAATATGTTACACATATTAATGACGACTACGAAGACCTAGAGGCACTACTCTGCGTTCATCCTAGCTCTCCTAAGAGATTCCATCTTCTTCCAAATAATGTCGTTCCTCCACTGCCAACTCTTCAGCAGTTTTAGTGCGCTCCGCAGGCGTAGCCCTTGAGTCGGCATCAATTTTAAGGCTGAACGCCTAAAATAAATACAATTTCAAGGATTCAAATCTATCAGTTATTGTTTGAAACAGTGCTGGTTGGCTTGGAAAAAGAAAACTGAATTTACACAGGATCTTGTGAAGTAAAGGAAAGGTTGCACTATGCTAGTTTAACAAATCTGTACTGATTTAATAAAAGTAATACAGGCATCAATTGACCAGAAAGAAAAAAAAACTTGAACTTGTAAAGGTTTTACCAGAGGTCTTGAAGAAAATGCTTTTCCAGAGGGAAACTTACCAGCTTGTCATAGTCGTCTTTATCGCTCTTTTCAGCTTTTGTGGCTCCAACTGGCCGGAACACGCCTTTCACTTTGTCCAGAAGTTTGAGATACTTCGCGTCTAGATCTTCAGTCACAGTTTCCTGAATTGAAACTGCATGAATAAACACGAGATAATAAGAGTGGTATTACATGCCAACTCACCATTTCATCCTTAGCAATATGCTTCTCCTCGCGAGCTTGCCTTGTCTTCGCGATCAAATCGGCTATTACATCTTTGCGACTCAGCTTTTCTTCAGGTTTATTGGGATTGTCGAAATCACCTCCGCCGAAATGAGCAACTTTCACCTGAAAGATACCTTTATGGTGAAGTAAACAGCAATCAGAAATGGAACTAAAGATGATTTAAATTTTATTTATTTTGCACTTCGACTGAATAAATTTCCACCAACCTAATCAATCTGCAATGACATGAGCAAAATACTACGTTCCCGAATACATCTTTCCATTAATGCATTGCTTCGACTAACTTTCCTCATGTAGATATGGAAGTACATCGTACTCGGTTCCAATACTTATTTTTGTCACTTATCTATGTTCACTTGGCCTATAACCGATCTCTGTTGTACAGTATCTCATTTCGCAACTCACTCTCGTTCTACTTTATCTCCCCTTCTTTCGAAGCTCTCGTGGATCTCATGACCTCCACGTCAGCACTGCTATATAAGGCTTAAGGATCCACCCCTTTGTTCTACTACTCATTTCGATCTCTCGAGCGGTTCGCTCGTGGCAAATAAAGTTTCCAAAAATTCTAGCTGTTGACACCCCTAAACGACAGTACACCCCGACCGGGCCCGACACTTAGACCTTTATTTATTGCACAGGCTCGATAGTTTTCTTATAAGTGTGCATGAAGAATATAGTAAGAATAAGAAAACCAACCACATCTGCGCCAATGTTACCATTACCATCGTCCTCATCATCAGAGGCGATAGTCTTATCATATTTTTGGATGTCAGTAAGAGCTCTGCCACCATGTGTTAGCAATTCTGAAAAGAAGCAGCAATAAATTCAGATCACTCTCATCAGACAGTGAAGCAATGCTGCGCAACAAGTGCCCTCTAT